CTCATCTGAATCAATTGCACTGTTGTGGGCCAAGTCAATTTGAGATCGGCTCAGGTGGTCAGAGAATGGTGCTAAGAACACTGAGGTTACGGGTTCAATCCCCGTGTGGTTCACGCACTTAAGAGTTGGACTCAAGATCCTTGTGTGTCCCTGCCAACTCAGAATATCCCCTGATTCTGTGAATTTGGTTAGACAGCGTGAGAACATTCCACTATTTGTGCCTGGTGATGGACCAAACATCCCAGAAAACAAAGTACATTGCCAGATAGAATAGCACACTGAGTTCCACTCCTGTTTTTCCTTCTGGTACACATACCTTAAATTTTAATATTCTGTCTATAACAGTTTTCCACGTAGTAATTATCAAAAAAATTAAAAAAAAATGGATAAACTCCATTTCAATATAAAATCGTATCTGTAATCCCTGCTATCTGTGATGTCTGATCTCCTGCTGTTTTTTAATATGATAGATCTAAAAAATTCATTTATTGTAATTTAAACAGAAAAATTACAAAGTCCTTACTTCAAGTAAGGAAAAAACCTTCAGCAGTTAATGTACTGGATGTCTCAATATTCTTCCTCTCTGAATTACACTAGTGAAAGCTTTTCTCCTTAAAATGAACCTGAGTAAATATATTGGCCAACAGTCAGACCCACTGCCATGGGTGAATTAAATGCAGAGTGGTCTGAGCGAGAGCAGCACTGATGTCAAAGCAGTACCACCCTTGAGCAAGCGGCTTTGAGGAGATCGGCTTAGAAAGTTTCCAGTAGAACACCATTCCAACAGAAAGTGCTGACTTGATGAAACCCAAAATATTCCACAGGAATGTGCTCATTCAATCAAAACTTTTCAAAGAGGACAGGCTGGCTCACCAAGCCAGCCAACCAGTCTAGTGAGCTGACTCGCTCTCCCCAGCTCTCCAGGGTCACTGGCTTCCCCATCTGGCCAGGTGCCAGGCTGCTATCCCTGCCCTCTGAGGGGCCCTCCAATAATAATAAAAATAATGGAGTCTTACAAAGTGTGCTGAGAAACAAACAAAGTAATTTAAAAATGAAAGCCAGAATTATTTCAGAACCAACTGCAGGGTTTCATCAGAAGGAACTGGGTACATTTGTTGCAAAAAATCTAAAGCTGCAGTCCTCAGTGTTTTATAAAACATCTTTCAGGGGAAAAAAAAGCTGTATCAATATTTCAACAACACAAAATAAGCAAGAATTATATTCAAAATCCAAACTTCACCAGGCACCTGTAATCATCAGCAAGGAGTTTATTGTAAGTTGCTTCCGAAGCACTGAGGAAATTCACATAAATGCCCATACCTGACCAAAACACAGGTGCAAGGGGCCTCATTTAGCACCCTGGAGAAGCTCAAAGTAATAGAGGTATGGATAGACAATATTTGAGCAGTCTTTTTTTAAAAAAACCCTGTCAACTAGCAAGTAACCCACTTTCTTCAAAAACTGGCTTTTGGCAACCTGTGATTAACCAGTGTATGGGACCTACTCTGGCTCCTCAGCAACTCAGCAAGTAACAGTATTTGCTAATTGCTAGGAAAGGTTTTTAAAGGCAACGTCACCAAACACCATGATGGTTTTTGCACAATACCATTCATTTAACTATCTTTTGTATAAAAATGCCTAGATATTGGTTCATGTGTGATCACCACAAGTAGTTTAAGAAATGTGGAACAAAGTTCCACACAAAAAAAGAAAGAGCTCTTTTTAAATGCCTAATTGAGTCAGCAACGAGATCTCTGTTGCAGGCAAGTCACATGATTTTGAAAGACTAAGGCTAATAAAATGTACTGATATATTTATATGAAAATCAGCATAACTTCCAGCATAGAACTGAGACAATTTTGTGACCACTCTTTCAGAAAACACATGTAAATCAGACAGCTGCCAGAGTTTGCAGTTCACTGACCCTTTCAACTGCCAAATGCAATGCACAAAGGTAGCTCAGAAAGCAATTAGAGATTGGCTGGGAGGACTCATTAATTTATTTAAACTTCAAATCACAGCTAAGCAGTCTTGTAACGCTATTCTGGGGGAGACTGTATGCCTCAGACCCGTATTTAAAAAGAAATGTTTGTCTTCTCAGAATGACAAAATACAGACCATTTGCTCCCTGGTGTTTCTTAGAAAGAACAGCTAATACATTTACAGTACCATGAGAAAACACATCTAGAACAGAACTAGATATAAGCACAGTTCAATCCAACTGCTCAATCTCTAAATATTTCTGCACCTGCTGTGTCTAAGGCTCCCTTCAACTACTTGCAACACAAAACTCAGAGACAAAAGAAGGTGAGGAGAAAAAAAAAGGAAGGAAAAAAAAGATATTTTTCCTTCTAGTGATAATAGGATTGGGTAATATCAGCAGCCAACACAAGCAATTGATGCCTGGTTGGCTCTATTCTAGTATATATGGCTTGAGGCCAAGAGAACAATGAGGAAGTAAAGCATAAAGAGATGCCTTCCATTTTGGAAGCAGGTATCAAAAGAAGCATCTTTTCTTCTCCCAAACAAAACTTGAGATGACCTTGGCCTATGGCAAAAAGGCAGATTCACCACCAATCTCATGATGACAAACAGCAAAACAGACAAGAAAAAAATGCAAGCGTATAGACATTCACATGCAAGTTTGGGCCTGAAATCATGGCAGCATTAAGCTATCAATCTGCTAGTTAATTTTCTTTCATTACTCTCATTAAAGGGACTACAAATATAACACAAAGTAACAACTGAGCACTGCACAACTCAGAAGCCATATCCTCAATTTCTTCATGCTGCAGTAATTTAAATAGCCAGTGATAGATTATAATTTAAGCTTTAGTCTGTGACTCCAGGAGCTAACCAACTGGAGCCACAAGGATCAATGCACACTTCTCTGAAGTGTTTATGAAAATGAGACCATACTTCTAAATATCTCTCTCTCAAACCAGCCTACCTAACTTGATAGTTTCCTTATTTCACACTTACATAACCATTTCCTAGAACCAGTTTCTGAGGCTCACTCCACAGCAAAAACACTCCTAAACCGAGAGACAACGTGCCACTGTTAACTCATACTGCATTGCCCACAACCGCTTTTGTCATGCTGCAGGTTATCCTGAGTGGCTTCAGCTGCCACTCACAGGTTTTACTTCTGTTCATTTGTTACACTTAAAAAACTGCAAAGGTAACAAGACGGCCCAGAGGAGCTCCAACCAGCAGTATGTAAGCTGAAACAATGCAAGACGGAAAAAGGAGTCTGAATATGGCACCACTGTAATTCAAACAATCAATCATGAATGATACTGAGAGGTTACATTATCTAATCACCGTATCTTCCAACAAAAGTTAGTCACCTGAGTGCATTCATATGTACGTGCAGGAAGCAGCAGGGGAAAAGGACTTCAGTCAGTCAAATTTCTGCACACCCCATCAGATGAATTAGTAGTGCCAGAGCTTGTTCTTTGCCAGTCTGCCTCCTCCTGCTCCACCCTAACTGATCCCAAGTGCATTTTCCTGCCCTGGCTGGGGCAACTAGCACGGTTCTCTCCAATGTCCAACATCTCTCAGTACACAACTAATCTTGGAAAATACTCAGACCTGAATTTAAAAAGGAAAAATAGAGAAAAAAAAGCCCCTTCTGCTAGATGAAGTCAACCTTCTCAAATATATTTGTGGTAACACCAGGGGAAAAAAAGAAATATTTACTTTTCCTAAGTACTGTGCTTTCAAATGGATTTCACAACTCTAAGCATATGATTTCAAATTATTTTTGCAATTAAGGGCCAGTAGTATTGGATAGCATTATGCTATCCAAAGAATAAGATATGGCCCAACCATTCTTCAAGACTTGTTTCAATACAATGATCCAGTGTAGAATACCCTAACAGAAAGGTGCCTGGAGGGTCAAAGAGCCCATGATACTGCAGGTTATTTATGTGGGAAATAACTTATGTTGGAAGGGACCTCTGGTGGTCTTCTGGTTCAGCCCCTCACTCAAAGCATGACCAAGTTAGACTAAATTGCTCAAGGATGGAGGTTGCAAAACCTCTTCAAGTGCCTCCTCATTATGTGACATTTTTACTTAACACTGAATCAAGATTTTTTTCTGATATAACTTATGAGCACCAACTTTCAGCTTCTTGCTGTTCACCTCCAAAAAAAGTCCAGCTCCCTCTCCTCTCTACAATTTCTAACTGCATTCTGTTCTGACATCTGATGACTGGTGGGAAATAACCTCATTGAAGATGTACTGTAAGATTTTCTGCCAAAGCAGGCACTAAAATTTCAATAAGATTTTCTAATTCCTGGTTTCCTCAAGTCTTTTTGTGTGCTCACCTTAGAACCAAGTGTCAGCCTAAGCCACGGTGATAGAAAGGTTTGATGTCAGTGGCAAAAGTCCTGTTTGCCTTGCATGAAAGCTTGCCTAGAAGAGAGCTTAGTAGGAGGGGAAAAAACAGTGGTACTACAGGTGATTCACTTACTATTGACCAATTTGATTAAAATAACCAGTCTTTATGAAGTATCACATATGGAACCAACTGAAGAAGTAGTTTTTTGGTTCCTTCCAGAAAGTGTAGTTTTCTTGAATAAGGTGCAAATGCACAGCATGTCAAGTAACAGTCCTTAATAAAGTCCCCAGGAGACTCAATCGATCCACCTCACTACTTGATGTCATTAGATGAAAGGATGTGTAAGCTACACATATCTCAACTGGACAACAAACACACACTGACCAGTGGTCGAAAAATGGAATAAACACATTCAAATAAGAATAATTTTATATTTGCAAGACACAGCGCAAATTATATTGGTATGCAGTACATAAAGACCAAGTTCTCAGACATTAATTTGAAAAAAAATAAACTACAAGCAAAAAACTCCAAAACCATAATTTCTGAGGCCACCAAACTAGCTACCAGAATTTACTATTACAATTACTAAAGGATTACTATCACACCAATGCTTAAAATGAATAAATAATTATCAGCTTACTTCTTTCTTACCATTGTAGGTTATCCTTGGTTTTGTCAAACACATCACAAGATGTAAATCCATTTCGTCAGAAGATACAAATTTTGAACATACAGGGCACTTGAATCCTATGGAAAATAAAAATATGTAAGTGTGAGCATACTCAACCATGTAGCAAATATATATAGTCATATATATAAGCCATCATATAAGCCAAAAAGCTATTCTGCACACATAAAAAGAAGGAAAAAAGAAATCCTGGAGGTTTTCAATTTTTGACCTGACATTTCTTACATAGATCCCCTTGATTTCAAAAGATCTCAAAATGGAACCACTGTTTCTGGAAATCATCCTGCTGGCAACTGCAAACATTGTCAGCGCCTCTGGGACACAAACTTTCTCAACAACTTAAGAACAGTTTAGGGCAGGGACAAGAGGATCATATGACTCTACTAAACCAGCAATTACACATGTACAGAGGACATAGCCCTTAATATTTGAACTTGGGCAAGAATCCTGAATTAATGTGTTCATTTTTACTGGGAATTGCACTGAAACTTTAACCAAGGATCTTGGTTTTACATCTTGTCATACAAGCTGCAGCATCTTTTACCAGTCTGGGACACTGGGAAAATATTAACTCAGGGGTGTTGCCTCACCTACTGAATCACTAATACTTCCTGTAGCACTGAATTTGTTTGACTGCTCTCATCCTAGCCAAGCATGACCTTGTTTAGCTTTTGAGGTCATTGCCTCAGGCAACATGGGGTAAAGAATAATTAAGACAGTCTGGATTGTGATGCAACTGCATAACAGTCTATGGCAAAAGTGCCTTAATACCTTAGTTTATGTCTGCCAAAGGCAGCAGTCTTCCAGTTAAAGGACAAGATCAGCTGGACAATTTTTACAGTCCACAGAAAGCCTGATTGATTTTGATCTGCTGAATAATTAACACACAAGTGAGAGACAAAAAAACCACCAACAGGGATCTTGATGCATAATTGTTGATAAGGAGTACATCTACAGGCAGATTGTCCAGTAGGACAACATTCAGCAAAAATATCTGATCTACATCCACTCTCAGCACAAAGACACTTTTTCTCTGATGGCGTGAAGAGAAATGATGCAGGCCTGTATAAAAGATCACTGCACCTTCCACCAGCATGCCCATCTGAGCCTGCTCCCACATGTTTTAGTTTGATGCCTCTTGCTTTTGTACTTCTAACCTTGGGAGTCCACAACAAACCGAGTCAGCCAAGGATGACAAGCAACTCGATGCTCTACTTTCAAATAACTGATGCCTGAGAATTTTCATCTTTACTGTTAATTATTATCCAGATGTAGACAAAGCAACTAACCTGAAGCATTAGCACTTGATACAAGTACTGCACTTCCTTTATCAAGAAAATGATTTATTTCTTACGGGCAGCTCGTAGGAAGCAAGCCAAAGAGGACAGCCAGTAACAACCATAAGGAACTTGGGGCAGCAGCTGAACATGTGCTAGAAACCACTTCCTGAGATAAAGCACAGTTCTACTTCTTCAAGTTTTTTAGTCATATCTATTTCTTCCTTGTGTCAATCTTGCGCTTCAGTTTAAATATTGCTCTTCTCTCCTTAATATTATTCCTCCTCCCCCAAACCCACATTTTTACAAACAACAGATCAATAAGCATAGCACAACCAAACATGTCTTTTGGAAAAAACTAGTTGAAAGCATTCATTTACTTGTTGAAAGCTTTCATCAGTGACCTTTCAGCCACTGTGTAGCCTCCTTCATGCAGGCTACACCTCAGCATGACTAAAATCAAAAGGAGTATCTCAGTCCTCCAAACACCCAAACCCACCCATTACTGTTCTGAGTTTCTTCAAAAATTGACCCAGGGTAAATTTTCTCTCAATCTTTAACATCCTACTGCTGCTGATTACTAGGTTTTGACTAAACTTAAGACCCATGCATTATTCTCATTTACATGCTTCTATAGGGCATAATTGACAACAGAGTTTGATGTGAAAAAGCCTCTAACTTCCTCGTATGCTTCAGACTGAGTCCTTCTGTGAAAGAAAGGGGTGTTTACATTACAGCAAGTTAACTTTTATGTTCATGGCTGGTTGAGCACTGAGACAGTCATTAACAAGTTCCCTCTGCTTTCTGGACAGAACTCTTCTAGCTTATTCCCTATAGTCATGAGCACATGTAATTGGGAATGACAGGGACAACCACCACCAGGTCCTTAGAACCACTGTTAAAGTTAACAGTTTTAAGAAGGTACGTATCCCAGGAATTCTTGGAGGAAATATTTTAATCCAAATAAAATATTGGTGAAAGCTGGAATGAAAAAACATGATAATTTAATAATAATACTGTTTTTACTTAAAACCATGCTTGAAGATAGCTGTGAAAAATCTTTTGGGTTATCCACTTAGAGTATTCAGATGAATATGCTTTTACTGCAATGCACCTGCCCTTAAACCTAGTAAATAATCTGTGTTCCAGCAATATAGTAAGTACTTTAACAATACATTTTTCTGTGGCTTATCTTGTGTTGGGGGGATGTGAAGGTAATGGTTAAACAACTACAAACATCCTCCTGACACAGCAAGTCTGGGATACCTGACTACTGTAGCTCTACTCAGTGTGCAGAATGGAAGAATCCAAAGAACAGAGAGAGAATAACGCACTTAACTAAGTTTTAAGGAACAACTTAGCTGACAGAAGTAAAAGGTGTATTTGTGGAAAATCTATTTTTCCAGTGACAACAATCAGCTGTGATTGTTGATTGTTTCTGCTGATAATAGCAGAAAAAGAGCCTTGCTGAAACATTCTTTAAACACAAGTGAATCCATTTCTCATTCCTTCACAATGTGCTGCTGCAATCTAGCTCCTGGATTTAGCCATCCTCCCCAAGAGATGCATAGTGTGAGTTTTTTGTGAAGGAAATTACCATTTCCAACTCCTTTTAGTAACCCCAAAAAACAATTATTTTGACTATAGACAAAATATTTACTTTATTCTAACTGTATTTGAAAAATATAAATAAGCAAACAATCTACACTGTCCACAAGCCAGTTGAATGTCCTTAAAAAAGCTCATATTTTCCTACCTTTCCTCAAATCAGACAGCAATAGTTTCATGACCCAGTTTACAATTAAGTACTGGGTAAGAACAAAGACTCTATTGTACCCCTGCCCAGCAGGCTAACAACATTTATAGCCTATGTTTGTTTTTACCATCTTCTCAAGGAACAATTTCAATAACTTGAAAGTTTCACATGGCTTTAACAATCAGCAACAGGTCAGAAATAACTTGCTCTGTGTGATTTGTTTTACTGAGTTCTGTAGCTAATTCACAGACATTTGGACAAAAAAGTGGAAGCAGTTATCAGACGAGGTAGCATCCCATGAAGTGTCTTCCAAAAACCTATGAAACTCAATCAACTACTTTCTCACTCTCTCTACAAGGAGAGCACAACAGACAATATGCAGTTCTAGGTAAAAATCCAGCTTTTAGGAAGGTGTTGATTTCACAGCACCCCTTATTTTTGTCCCAGATGACAACTATCACCTTTGTATTAGCCTTGTCACTGTCTGCACATCACTGCAAAGTTGTCCCTCCTTCTCCCATAGCAGAGAACTCAGCCTGTGACACACCCCAAATCAGCAGAAGGACCACCTCACCCCACTCCCTACATACAGAAGTACAGCACTAGAGCTGAGCACCAAAATTGAGCAAACACACACCTCTAGCTGACTTTTACAACTGCATCCTTAGGAGTGCAGGAAGCCAAATTCATACAAGCTCCCACCATCTAGTTTCACAACCCTAACTACAATACTGAAAGTAACACATTACTTAAAACCAAAATCCTGGGGAAAAAAATTACAATTACAAGAAATGGAGACAGAACAGAAAGTTGCAGTACAGCTACTACAAAATCCCAAGGTGACAAAGAAAATTTGAAATAACAGAACCTGCTTAAGTGTCACGACTTATATCAGAGGTGAGTTCTGTCTCTCACTCTCTCTAGAAGAGAATTTCACTTTCTTTAAGCTCTGTCATCTTTTGCAAATGAGCCTCCAGTTAGCTGAGGAATCCCATCTTCTCTCACATCCATCTACCAGACTCACAATTTTCATCTCTGGCAGACTTGGGAACTACCCACAGGGACAGGTTGATGGGTGGCCACTCATTCCATCAGCAGCAATTTCAACCTCTTAGTGATACCTTACTGTGTTTGCCTTGTTTTGCAAACATCAGACTGCATAACTTGCACTTCAGTGCACAGCAAACATAAAACTCAATGAAAAACAAACTCCTGGACTGCTAAGATTTTTACAAAATCATGCTGGCACTTATTCTGGAGTATCTACTTTGGTGTGCAAAAAACAAGAACTGCCAAGAACTTCCAGACACAACAGTGCAGAGTGTCACGTAAAGAAACATGTCAGACTTGCATAGAACAGTGGATGATCCTTTCAGTCAATATTAAACAGTTGTAGCAATAAGTAAGCACAAATAAAACCTGCACCAACACAGAAGACTGAATCAGCCTGATCAGAGTAACTTTTCAGCAGAAAACATCAACTGGAATACTGCCAAAGCTAAACTAAAAGTAGAATGGGAGCAGCTGCTCTTTTAAAGCATGCAGCAAATTACTATTTTAAGTCTTTGTATCCTTGTGTTTTCAAACAAGATAGATAAATCCACCTTGTTTTGCATTTAAAGAAGTCATAAGAGCAATCCTTGCATCACACACTTTTTCTAAGGTGTATTTGAGAATAAGAAGCCTGACAAATGTTACTTACATATTCACACATGTTCTGTGGTACTTAGAAAAAGAAGCACAGAGAACCTGGAAACACACCATCCAGTAAATCTGATGGTATGAGGGTGGTATGCAAAATGACTATCACACTATCACCTGCATAATGATGCTAAAAAAGGAAACAATACAAGACAAAAAAAGAGTTGGTTACTTCTTATGTGCTCAGTAGACATGGAAAACAGTCAGTAACTCTGCTCAGTATAAAACACATGTAGACACTAGGTAGTGCATCCTTTATCTTTTTCCCCAGTCTGAAACAAAACCAGGTTACTCTAATCTTTCCTCACATGCCCTGATGCCTAAA